ACCACGAAGGAGCCGACTGGATAATAGCAAGGTTAAATATAAGAGTGGTAAATTATTGCCAAAGTTGCCATAGCAGTATCTTTAAAGATGCTAATTTTAATCTACTATTTACGAGTATTATCACCCTAATAGGAAATTTGTCTGTGGCGTTTGCTTCAAGCTGTCACTGCATCTTAATAGATTTCGAAACTCATCAAGGCAGCAAATGGTGAGTTTTCAACTAGGAAAACAAGACAAGTGCCTTGTTTATTATCTATGCTGATAGCATCTGGTCCTAGTAATAGGGAAGAATCGTATTTTATTTTTAGAGCCCTACAAATATTGGCATATTCATGCTGGTTTGGCTTGCATGAAATGTTCTTTATTTTCGCCTAAAATCTCGCCTTGCCAACTATTCTGTCTGGCTTTTCCCACTTTCAGGCCTATGTTACGAATCCAGATTTTTGCCATTTTGTCGGAGATATGGACATCCATATTTCAAATCTCGAGGACACCTCTTGCTCGATCGCCTCACCACTCAGTGCCGTCTCAATACACCCAGACTCATCTTTCGCGACTGTCAAGACGCAGACCGAAAGTCTTACTCTACTAAAGACTCGTCTGGAAGTCTGGTCGCAACATATCATCCGCTTGTCCGCCTACGGATCATTGAGCTCCTCTGAAACCGTTGCCGCTGCCCACTCTGACGTCAGGCTTGAGTCGCCTCAGGACCAGAGTTTAACGAGGTCCTACGGCCAATTGGCTGGGCCCATATCGGATCGCGACTCGGGCCCAGAGGTTCAGCGATGTCTGCGTGCCCTCGGACATCGATTCACCGGTCTCTTGGAACGCGCTAACCGGCTTGTCGAGCTGGCCGAGCACCAGCGCCGGTCTCAGGTAGGCGATACCTATCCACTGCTCAAGCTTGCATGGCTTTTCTTTAACATTGCTTCACATTTTTTCAACAAAAGGAAGTATGGAGGATTTTTCCACTTGTGCTTTGTCATTATCTATTATCTTTCAGTCAGGAAGATTACATTAGGATCCTTTTAAGGTCATATATTTACCACTCACTCATTTGGAAGTAAAAAAATCTTTAAGATTTTGAAGATATTTTTGATGAAAATGTGAAATATGCTTTATTTAATAAATATATAAAACTTACAATATCACTCACCTGCATGTGTACCAGTCGACTACTGATTCAACAAAATATTGTAGTGAAAAAATTTCATTTGTCCAACTATGGAAAATAAAAGGATTGGGGAAGCCAAATGGATCAGGGTTTTCAAAATTTACAGTTTACTCAGTTTAATCTGAAGTGTATAGGATGTTATTATTAGGTTTAAGAAAAATGATTTTAAAAGTTGGGCTCAGGAATCGTTAAACAGTTGTTAGAGTGTACATACCGAACATTGACACAGGAAATAACAAGTGAGGTCGAAATGGAAGGGATAGAGTTGATGTAATGACGAAATTATCAAATATTACGTTACTCACAAGACACAATGGCCATTCGAAATAATTTGAGTAGGGTTTCGAGATTACCAGTAAATCAGTGTAATGAGATC